AACTACATCTTTGTGTATTTTTTTTAATATATTTTATTGATTTTTACAGAGAGGAAGGGAGAGAGATAGAGAGTTAGAAACATCGATGAGAGAGAAACATCGATCAGCTGCCTCCTGCACAGTGTAGGTCCATTTAAACCCACAACCCAAGTACATGCCCTTGACCGGAATCGAACCTGGGACCCTTCAGTCCGCAGGCCGATGCTCTATCCACTGAGCCAAACCGGTTTTGGCAATCTTTGTGTATTTTTGCTTGTTTGTTTGTTTTTTTGTTAATCCTCACCCAAGGATATTTTTTTCCATTGATTTTTTAGAGAGAGTGAAAGGGAGAGGTAAGGTTGGAAAGAGAGAGAAACATTTATGTGAAAGAGAACACATTGATTGGTTGCCTCCTGCAATCACCCCAACCAGGACCAGAAATTGAACCTGTGACCCTTCGATGCATGGGCTGGAACTCTAACCACTGAGATACACTGGCCAGGGCCAAAAAACTAACCATCTTTGGATGGAGCATAGCACAGACTTGTTCTGCATTAAATGATGCTTTTAAATATATTACAGAAATTGTTAAAACACATCATGTACTTAAATGAGATGATGTTCCATTAAGAAAACTGTAGATATATCATGAGTAGGTCCATAATTCATAGATAAGTATTTTGATTCCTTTGATAATATAAGTATGTTTTCAAATAAGATGTTTTTCTAATTTTCCAGTTTTCTGATTATAATTCTTGAGAATCTCATAATTTTGTTCTCTCCTCCCCTCCCATTCTAATATGTTGACCTAGATACACTTATATGAATTGATATTTTGAAAGAATTCTTAATGGGCTTTATTAGTTCAACTTTATAAAATTAAAAATTCATAATTTAGTACATGCTTCATTTTATAGTGACTTTTACACATAGGATACTGGTTCTTTCACTAACATCTTAAAAGTTAATATCTTATTTAAACAGCTATCAATAAATAGAGACTAAAGGTATATAAAATAATCTCATGCTTTTTCAAATCTAGGTTGGATGGACAGTGGCCTGATGGCTTATTGGCTTCAGACAATACTCTTCATTTTGTCCATCCACTGACTTTCAATTATTCTGGTGTTTATGTCTGTAAAGTCACTAATTCCCTCGGTCAAAGAAGTGATCAAAAGGTCATCTACATTTCAGGTAAGTTAATATCTACTTACAAAATGGGTTACTTGAATTATTCCTATAGTGATAATCATAACAATAATACTATAATCATGGTGGTAACTTATACTTGTGAAGATATAGATTCCTCAGTCTGAGATTTTCCAAATAATCTAAAGATAAAGTAATCCTATCTGAAATACATGTGCAAAGTGGCATTCCTTAAAGAAATATCAAAATGTCTATGCAACAACTTTAAGACCTATTCATATAGTTAAATTTACAGTTAAATAGTATTAATTTATTACTTTCATAGGTAGTGTGTGCCTTTCTAGGTTCTTTACACCAAGAACAAGCAGTGGAATTTTTTTGTCTTGGGTTGGACACTAGGCACACAAGTGTGTGATAAATAAAGTAGGATATCAACTTTGATGACCTGGCTTGTTAAATAACATTGTCACTCAATGTTACTATGCCATATTGGTTACTGAGAGGTAAAGTAGGAATACTACTGAAAATGTTCTAATGAAATAAATTTTAGATGTTTTTTATTGTTAGTCTTTAAACCACTAAGAACTTAGATATTTCACATTCCGTTTGTTTTGCTGTGAAAGTTCTTGTTAATTTGACAGTATAAATTTGAATATTCACAAAATATAGTTAATGCTAAAAACATTGTTTTCTGGGTGTGGCTACAAGTAATAAATTCTCAATGGAATTCTTATTTATGCCAATTATGTAAACTATTTTGAGCATCTCTTTACTGACTATAAGAATGCAGCAATCTTCATGCCTAACACATGGAAAATTAAAGGCAAAAGGAAGAGAACCTTGAGAAATACAGGTTTGTATGGTAATTCTATAATAGGTAGTTAGAGTATTCATTTCTGCTCAAATCTAAAACTAAATCAATTAGAGATTTTAGAGAAATTTTAAGCTTGGTTTTATGTTATATTCTCAGTCCTTGTATGATCACTCAACCTAAGAAAAGTCCCCTATATTTCTCATCACAATTTGTAATCATATGTTCATTTATTTACTTGCCTATCCTCACATTTAAACAATTTGTGTTCACTTAATTTACCACTTAGTTAATGCCTGGCATATGATAGGGGCTCAATTTTTTTTTTTTTCATGAATCTCACAAGAAGTTTAGAGCTATGTACATCCCTAGATCTCCCTTTCTTCCAGTAGCAGTGCTTTGGTGGAAATCTAAATAAGATTAGATATTAGTATACTAGTCTCCCTTTTTCCCTTAGAGATTTTTATTAAAAAAACAAAAGAACCTTAAAGCCACAGGAAATGTATATTTAAAATGTACTTATTTAAGGACTGCTTACTTTTTTCTGTTGTACAAAATTTAGTGTGAGATATTACTTGTAAATCTTAGACCCAATGTGTTATGATTATATAATCCTATCTAATAAAAGAGTGATATGAAAATTAACCATCACTCCCTCATTCTGTCACTCCATCACAAAGATGGCGGCAGCCACGGAGCTAGAGCAAGCAGGAGGCTTGGGTTGCCCCGGTGATGGAGGAAGCCAAACTTCCCGCCTGCCTTGCCGGCCCTGAGCTCTGCTCAAGGCTACAAAGTTTCAATTGTAGAAGATAAATAAATTCCAGATACCTGCTTCCAGCCTGCGGGCGTGGCCAGCCTGAAAACGGCCATCAGCTCCTCACCCAGGCTGGCCAGGCACCCCAGTAAGGCCCCACACGGGGTGAGGGTCCCCACTGGGGGGCTTGGCCAGCCTGCAAACAGCCCTCAGCCCCTCATCAATGCTGGCCAGGCACCCGTTGGGGACTCCCACCCTGAAGGGGGTATGGCCAGCCTGAAAACAGCCCTCAGCCCCTCACCCAGGCTGGCCAGGCACCCCAGCGGGACCCCCACCCTGATCCGGGACACCCTTCAGGGTAAACCAGCCGGCCTCCACCTGTGCACCAGGCCTCTATCCTATATAATAAAAGGGTGATATGCAAATTGACCCTAACAGCAGAACAACTGGGAAGGACTGGTCACTATGACACACACTGATCACCAGGTGGCAGACGCTCAATGCAGGAGCTCCCCCCTGGTGGACAGTGCGCTCCCACAGGGGGAGCTCTGCTCAGCCACAAGCCAGGCTGATGGCTGCCAGCACAGTGGTGGTGGTGGGAGCCTCTCCCGCCTCCTCAGCAGCGCTAAGGATGTCCGACTGCAGCTTAGGCCTGCTCCCAGCTGGCAAGTGGACATCCCCCGAGGGCTCCCGGGCTGCCAGAGGGATGTCTGACTACCAGCTTAGGCCCGGTCCCCCCGGGGAGCAGGCCTAAGCCATCAGGTGGACATCCCCTGAGGGGTCCCAGACTGTGAGAGGGCACAGGCCGGGCTGAGGGACCCCCCGAGTGCACAAAGTTTTGTGCACAGTGCTCTAGTAATTTAAATATTAGGGCTCAATTTGGGAAATCTCATATATATTGATTACATTGGTGGTAATGCTAAATTCATATATTTTGGCATATTGGATCCACTTCCTAGTACTCCTGACTTTTGTGTCCAACTGGCTATTAATGATTATTAACCCTATGTAGAAGCATAAATAGACACAATTTCACATTCAAAATTAAGGTCCTGATCTTTCTCCTGTCCCTTGCCACCAAATCTCTTCCTCCATTAGTCTTCCTCCCTTCACTTATTGGTTGCTCTTTCCATCTATGTCTGAGGATATAATTCTTGATACTTATTACCTTCGATACTTACCTCTCATACCCCATTCAATCCATCAACAAATCAATGTCAGCTTTCCCATTATGTTATATACAGAACCTTACCAATTCTCCACTTCTACTTCAAATATTCTGGTCCAAGCCATCAGAAACTCTAACTATTAGAACAGCCATTTAATCATTCTACTTTTAATCTGTTATCAAATGAGCAGCCAGAATGATATTTTTAAAGGATATGTCAAATCATGCCACTCCTCTCTTTTAAACCTTCCATGGACTTTCCATTCTCACTTCCTTTAGGTCTTTATCAAATATCACCTTTACAATTGTATTTAAAATTGAAACCTCTCTCACCTTTCTACTAGTTTCTGTCTTCCTTCTCTGCCTTATTTTTCTTTACTGTACTTATTGCCATATGACATACTACATATTTTATTTTATTTATATGTGTCTCTTTTTACCCTAACTAGAACATAAGTCCTAAGAGGGCAGGATTTTTGCTTGCTATAATTACTGCTACATTCTCATCACTGGCAATAATAATAATGCTTATTAGCACATAGTGGGTGTCCAGTGAACTTTTGTTGCATGAATGGATAAATTTGAGAAGAAAGCAATCAGGAAAGAATTAAAAATCGAGAATCTATTTTATGTAACTTTTTTTTCTTTTTACAAAGTAACTGGTAATAAACTTCATACATTTTTTTTATTATTCTCTAGTAAGTCTCCTAAGAATCACAGTTTTTTTGCCACTAAGAACTTAAGAAAAAGATAGCATTATATGACATGGTTTTCTTCAAGAATTAGACTTTATTTTTTTATCCACAGTGTTTAATACAATACATTATGCTGAGTTTATTTAAATCTTCTAAGAGCTTCTTAGGAATATATCAAAATTCCTAGATAAAATACTGCCTTTCCAAAATGACTGATAAAGCTTAGTAGGCTTTTATTAGAATGAAAAGTCATAATTCACACAGAGTAAATTATCAAAGTTAATCTTTTTCATTGGAACTTTTTTTTACCTCAGTATTAAAATTGCTATTTATAATTTTTAGAGATAATTAAAAATATCTGTAAAAGGAATGTCTTATGACTGGAGACTGAAAGTTCTACTCAGAACAAAGTAGAGTTAGCAATCCTGTTTGAGAGAAGTTGTTCATAATTTTATTATACGTTTCCTAAGTGGGTAAGCATAAAATTTTGGACAAGAGGTGATTGATTCAAGACTGCAATATTCGACTTCAGTTCTTACTCATGAGAATACAATAGCTCTTTGTCCAGTATGTGTTTTTGTAGTTGCTTTTGCTCTGTATTTTTTCCTTGATACCTCTTACTGCTCTCTAAGAATAGGGAAGCAATTTTTTATATATCACATAAGTTCTTCCCTGCCTAAAACTCAAAGTACTTATCTATACAAATCTTGAATTTCAAATCATACTGATTTTTAGGATCCAGACATATTATAAGACTTAGAATCCACATATTCTTAGCAATCCTTAAACTTTTAAGATTCATAGATTTTGTTTGAAGAATTCATATAAAGTCTAAAAGAAAAAGTAATCAATTTAATTTTTAACATAGTAATTATTATGCTAAAATATACTTTATCACTAAAGGGCCTTACTGTAATTTTTCCCCCCCCATTTGGCAGAACTCATTAATTTGAAAAAGAAACTTAAGAAGTTCTTCATTTAGGTGTGAAGAACTCACTGTATAGTTCATTGCATTTGTTATATACTCATCACACATTCAGCAAATAATATAAAAAAAAAGTCTGAAAAAATAAGAAATGCTGTTCTGAAGGATATTAAATAATGATAAATAAGTACCTATTGGTGATTACAAAATACTAGTCTTTCTGTCTTCTTACATTAATTGTGACTTTCATTTATTGTGGAGGAGGGAAATAATTTAAAAATATGAATAAATGTTATATGCATTGCCATATGTCCATTGCTTAAAAATACAAAATAATAAAGTATTAACACTAGTCCCATTTTCATGCAATCATATTAATAGTCAGGGTATGCTATTTTTAACATTGGTTGAGACGGGGATGGTTTGCTCAAAAATTTATAGAACCACTGACAAAATTAAATAACAAGATTTTTTAATTGGCATTTTGGGGGTACTTTTTTAAGTTAGATTTATCTGAAAGCTGTAAAGAACAGCTTTCACATAAAGAACATTGCATGTAGAAGTAGTAAATATCAGATTGTTGGGTTTTTTTAGGACACTTGGCAAAAATGTTACATGTCTTATACTTGTTGAGAGCTCAGGTATATTCATTGTTCTGTAAAAATAGCATTTCATTAAGAGCCATCAAAAAC